CCCGGTTATGCACAGTATATATGTGACTGTATGAAAATGAAAAATGGAAAATAAAAAACACATTTTACAAAAAAAAAATGGTAATGGCAAACCAGTGATGAAATGGTTGCCAAAAAACCCCACATGGACTTGGCTAGCCAATTGCCAAAAATAAAGAATAACTTCAAGGTATCCTCCCCCCATCCTCCAAAAAGATCTGGTATCAAGAAGGTATACATTGATTTTAAAAATGTTTGACACAATAATGTTTATCTGGGAGAGAAGAGAGTGTCAGATCATCTTATGATTATTGGTGAAATAGTGCCCAAAAAGTACTAATTAAATATTAGCTTCAGTACAATAATACAACTTTAATACTACAACTCTCATGATGCAGGTTTTGTTTTAAAACAATAGTTTAGAACAGGGATGTCAAACTCAAGCCCAGGGGCCAGATCCGGGCTTAGATCTGGCCTGCGAGACTGCTCTGGAAACAGCAACGGACCAGCCTGCAGTGCCTCTGCCAGTGAAAACGGAGCTCAGGCGTGGCCCTCCGGAGCTCCATTTTCGCTGGCAGAGGGTTGAAGGAGGTTGTTACATCCAAATATGCCCCCCCCCCAAGGTCAAACACAACCCTGATATGTCCCTCAATGAAATCGAGTTTGACACCCCTGGTTTGGAAGTGGTTTTCTGTAGGGTTTTTCATTTTCAATTTCTCACTCTAACTTATCCTTAGCAATTTTTTTGATCGACTTATGTCCAAGTATTAGCCAAATCTGCTCAGGTTTAACGTCTGAGATCTGCCAAGGTCATAATATTAGAAAGAAAAAGAGCATAAAATGGAAATGTTAGCTATGTGCCAACCTCAAACCCCTGTGGGGTCAAGACAGACCTATTAACTGTTGTTTTGATAGGTTGGTGATGTTTTTTTACCATTATATCCTTTTATAGCATTTTGGCCTCCTTTAAACTGGAGTAACGTTTAGTAAAAAGACATAAAGATATCCTTTAAAAACACAGAGAATGATTTAAAGAAAAATGTTGTGTATCCAAGGTCAAATAAGACACATGTCCCAGGAAAGTCTTCGAAATGATAACACTCTTCAAAAATTTGAAATGTGCGTGGAAAATGCTAAACTAATGGCTTGACTAAAGCAAAACCACATGGGGTTTATTTCTTTGTAAATGTAGAAGGCTACACTGTTTACTAATTTTCCTGTCTTTCATCACCCTGAGGCAATACTTCTGTTTGTTTTGTTTTATTTGTAGTTCTTGCCTAACCAACAGCTTATAACCCAGCAGCGTAGCATCTGGTTAATGGCATAACATGCTTTGCTGATGTGTAAACACATTAGACCCCCAAAGAGCCAGAACAGACCCCATTCTTCGTTCTTACCTTAAATGCACTCCCAAATTAGTTTGCCATTTTCCTGATTAAGCATACGCTATATATTTTTAAATGTTTTGGGGTCACAGATGAACCAAACTCCACAAGGAGTGTTAGGAGGAGTAAAGCAGGGGTGGGTTCTGGCTTCTGTTACCAGGGATGTGCATGCTACACACACATGTGCAGTAGTAAAAAAAATGCTTCTGTGCATGCGCAGAAGCAAAAAGCCATAGGTGCCGCCAATAGAACCGGTTCAGGGGCATGGCTGGCCAAGTTACTACCTACTCGGCCGAACCAGTCTGAACTGGTAGGAACCCATCTCTGGAGTAAAGCATTTAAGCATTGAGGGATAAGAAATTAAATTGTTTTCTGTATTATTATTTTTTTGGAAATAGGAGCTGCAAGCCATTCTAGAATAGAATAGAATAGAACAGAACAAAACAGAACAGAACAGAACATAATTCTTTATTGGCTGTGATTGGACACACAAGGAATTTGTCTTTGGTGCATAGGCTNGTTGCTTCTCTCCTTGATTAGTTTCCATCCATTGTTTCTTGTCTTGCCTTCTGGTGCTTTGGAAAGTATGTTGACCCTCTCTTCTTTGTGGCAGCACCTCAAATCCTGGAATACGGCTATCATGTCCCCCATCGTCCTTCTTTTCTCTAGACTAGCCGTATCCAGTTCCTGCAACTGTTCTTCATATGTTCATATGTCCAGGCCTTTCATCATCTTAGTTTCTCTTCTCTGCACTTTTTCCAAAGTCTCAATATCTTTTTTGTACGATTTTTACTAACTTATTCATGGATAATTTCCTATTTTGTATTTATGTGAGGGAAACCACGTAACTTTCACTACCCAGCCAACAAGCAAGGGAAGGAAAGAGTGAATGAGACAGAGGCAATAAAATGTGTTATGTATATTTTGATACTATAAACTTCCACTATTCAGATGCGTCCTTGGGTACACGATGGGAAACAACACTTTAAATCTTTCTCCCCAGCAGCTGTTACTCATCTTGAATTCATCATTAACCACAAGTGTGTAGTATTTCCTCTGTTGAGTAATTTAGCACAATATGTCTCAAAAATCACACAATGCATGACAATTTATTTCTAATTGCGCCATTCTGATGATTCGGCATTCTGAAAGATACCAAGATGCTAATGAAAGGAACCCCTGAATGGGCTTTTTTTAATGGGAGGAAGGACAGAGCTCCTTGCGTAGTAATAGAAGACTTATTGTCTGATATGGAAGAGAATAATAGTGAATCAAACACGTATAATTTCCAAGGAAATAGCATGTGTTCATATACAGAAATAGTTTTGGGCAAGTTAGTAGTAAACATGACAAAAAGTGATGAAGCCATGCTTGCGCTGTGGTTAGAAGGCAGCACTGAAAGTCTAACTCACTTCTCACTCCAGGACAGGGGTGGGCTCCTGCCAGTTCTAACCTCTTCTATAGAAGAGGTTCCACAAATCTACAGTGCCGTTTAGAGGGGTTCCAACTCCCTTCCCACACCTGTCCGCACATCATCAACATGAAGAGTGAGAGAAGGAATTCTGGGAGTTGAAGTCCACAAGTCTTAAAGCTGTCAAGTTTGAACACCCCTGGGGCTTTTTTTCTAAAGGGTTAGGGGTGCAANGATTATTTTAGCTCATGGGCTCAAAAGCTCAATTGGGCTTATTATCTGGGGAGGTCTTATTTTCAGGGAAACAGGGTATTACACTGGGAAGAAAGCATTTAAAAATGCTGATGATAATATAAATACAAATTAAGTCAACCAGGATCTTAGGTAAACCTTGTTTCTCTCATATCGCAACTGAGTCCTTTACTTACCATTGTCATACAAAGCAGCATCAATTCTGGGTTTAATCCCTTTAAAATCCCGGGCTATATTTCTGGGGTATCCTTTTTCCATACTTTGTTCCATTTCATTGTATCTGAATGAAGATTACAAATGTCATTATTGAAATGCAATATCTGAAGACTCTTTCATGAAAGGAAAAAGGATTCAAGTTGGTAATGATCAATTGAAGAGGCCAAGCTAAATACAGGAAATGAAAATTTCTGCAACATACTTTTCTCCCCAAGGAGAAAATGACTTTATGGGCATATCCAGAGGTGGTATTCTGCCAGTTTGTACTGGTTCACCAAAACCGGTAGTGAAAATCGCAGGTGGGCCTGCCCACCTGCCCCAGCTCTATGCCATCCTATTTAGGCACATTTTCAAGCCAAAATGCATGCGTGGCAGGCTGAGTGCACATATGAACATGTGAGCATAGTGAGAGTGTGCATGCTCACATTTGCGAACTGGTAGGGAAAGTAAGTGAATACCACCCATGGGCATATTCATGCAGATTTGTCACTGCATTCTTCTATTATTTTAACTCTGTGGTTTATCTTACAGTGCTGATATTGCCTGAACATCTCAAAGGCAGACCTGACCCTGAAAGGTTCCCATGCTAGATAAGTTCCCCCAGGTGTTCTCAAAAACCATTTGCAGATTTTGGATGTTTAGTTGTTGTAGTACTTTTAAAGGAGGTGCAAAGAATCAGAGTCTTGAGTCCAATAGGGTACTTTTTCTCAAATGACAAAAATGACCTTGGGCGACAGAGTACTCCTTCCAATACCAGGGAACCATCAAGATGCAGGGTATTATCCTGAGAAAGGACTGGCAAATAGAAAACATTCCTTTCTTTTCCAAAGTTGCCTTTGTTTAATGCCATCATTGGAAGTGCCTCAAATGGAAGAAGGAATTGGGAAGGTTTTGTTTTGTTCCAATATTGGGCATGAAGAATGGGCAAATTGAGGAATATCTGTCTCCATTTGTTTTGATCTGATTCAGTTTGGATTTCTAGATTTGACTGAGTTGCATATCCAAACTAAGATATTGAATCTGTTTGGACTCTAGAGTCAAATAGGGAATTCTTTTTTCCCCCCTTATTCAGATGATTTGAAAGCTCATAATTTTATTCTATTTGTTGCAGATTTTGACCACTTTTGATTACCACCTTACCGATATACTATTATATAGTACATTTCAGTTATATATTGTTTATTAAGGATTAATACCTTAAGGCCAACAACATTGTAAGCAAGTCATAGAAAATTGCAGATCCATACCTCCAATACTTGTTCCCAATGAAAAAATAGGTCTTCCCAGTTTGTGGATCGCTGAATGCAGCATCAATTTTCTTCACATTTCTTGGAAATCCCAATTTGTAAATGCTTTGAACCTGGCCAACTATATCATATCCACTTAGAACCCAATATTTGTTTCCTAAAAAGAGAAGAAGTAATATTATATATAATTATATTTCTTGATACTCTAGGCAAGGGGTGTAAAACTTGTGGCATCGTATTGTCATCAGGTGATATATCATGTCTTGCCCCCCTTCGCTAAACTGGGTGTGGGTGTGGCCAGAGCGTAACGCATCTGGGCTGTGGGCCGTGCGTTTGAGACCCCTGTCCCCAAGTTTAGTTAAGAAAAATATTTCAGCATTGAAAGAATGATAACTTCTAAGCCTTGTCACTGTTACATGCAGCCTTTGGAGAAAGTGGATACTAGTTTTAAAAGAACAATGGAGCTTTTTTAGATGCTTAAAATTTGACATGTGGACATTCACAACTCAGAGGTCTGTGTGTCTATTTCTAGCAATAAATATTTGTTAGGAAAGAAGGAGAATCCTTTGTTCTTTGTGGATTTGACACCATCCTAACTTTTTTTAAAAAGAGAAACAAGTGGCAGCTGTATGATGTAAGCATCTGGCTTAGATCTTTCCAGCATGCTGAAATGCAGTTCTCATTGGCAGCAGAGCCATCTTGATAAAATACAGAGAAAAACCAGAAGAGAACCTGGAAAATTAGGCAGAGGGAGACCAGGATAAGACAACAATTGAGTTATCTGCCCTCCAGTCATGCTAAAGAAATGCCAGCACAAAGTCAGACTAGGCTATGAGTCCTTCTGAATAATTTACCAACTGGGATGAATTCAGACAATGCAGTGAACCATAATGTGAAGTGTCTGTGTGTGTGTGTGTGTGTGTGTGTGTNATTAATCAGTGGAACAACTTGCCTCCAGAAGTTGTGAATGCTCCAACACTGGAAGTTTTTAAGAAGATGTTGGATAGTCATTTGTCTGAAGTGGTCTAGGGTTTCCTGCCTAAGCAGGGGGTTGGATTAGAAGACCTGCTAGGTCCCTTCCAACTCTGTTATTCTATACTCTACATTAGCTGGTAAGATAATGAATAGTGTATAATACCAAGAAATTCTTCAGGCTGAAAGAAAAATTGAACCATCGATGAAGTTCAACAGATTCACACAGCTGGACCACTAAGTCAATTTCCTCTAAACTTTTGTAATAAGAATCAAAATCTATTAGTCATTCCTGCCAGCATTCTGATTTATATGAGTCCATTAGCAGCAAACTAACATTTCTTTTGGGTAAAGAAGACAAAACAGGATGTTTTGGGACAAAGGGAAGTAGAGATGCTGTGTTGAAATATCAGATAATGAGCTAGCATCTCATGACAACCTTAATTACCCTCTGTTCCTGGATAAATCTCCCCCCTCATTGACTGACGTTTTACAAATAAATGAAAATCTGTATATCTGTATTTGGACATCTCCTCTTTTGCCTTTCTGACTCAAAAGCTGACTTTCCATTATTTATAGCCATGTTTTCATTGCATGGGAATTGCTTTTCCCGTACATGTTTTTACCCATATTTCTAAGCCAGTGATGGCTAATCGCACACACACCCATAATGCAATATGTGTGCAACCCCATAGGTGTGCCCTGACAATTCACGTGCCCACAGAGAGGCCTCTGTGTGCCACCTGTGCCACAGGTGCCATAAGGTCACTATCATGGTCCTAAGCCAAACTCTTTATGGAAGCCTACCTTTTTGTATCAGAGCCAATGGTGAGCTACCTGCTTAAATTGTATTATAGCACTTAATTTTTGGGGGGGAGGGGGGCGGAATTAGGCAACAGGTAACAAAAGAGCTATGAAAGCTACTTTCTACTTTATTTTCCTTTTCTCAGCATTTTAAGTAACAGTGAGAAAACTCCAAATTAGCAGCAAGACAACTGACAAAGTTCCTATCTGCGTGACAAGATTAAAATACTTATAATGCTTCTTAAATTAATCTGTACTGCATGGAGCACTGCTGTGGAAAACAATGTCTGAATAGGAAACATAGAGATGATGAGAACAGAAATACATAATCCTATAACAAAGGTTTAAAAGCCTATTTATGACCGTCTTTAAGCTGTCAATTTCTTATAACTAAAAATTAGCAGCAGAACATGGCTATGTTTTTAGTAAATATATTTTAGCTATTCAGCCGGATGTTGAAAACATTGCTGTATAAAATAGGAAAATCTTTCTTGATTCAGTGCATGCACTAGTGAACAAAATCTTACTAATATATAAATGAAGGATTTCACATTATTTTTCCTTAATGTTTCTTCCAGATTTGCACTATACACCCGGAATGGCTAGAAAAAATCTCTCAATGTTCGTCTGTTGCAGGAAAAATCATCACTGTTTTGTGGCATCATAAAAATGAACACAGTAATTAGAATACAAGAATTTGTAGAATAATTGCGCATTTCATCAGATGACTAGAATGTTATCCTATGGGAAGAATATATACACAGATGACTGGACAGATGGGAATAAAGAGTTAAAGGAGAAGGCCGGGAGAAGGAAAATGTAGCAATTGAGATTGAGATGATAAATTGCGTTGTGTACATTCACAAAATAGTTATGACACAAAACAGTCTTGTACCAATCAACAGATTAATATATGAACTGCGATACGAAAACTGACCTCAGGACACTCCACAGTTAGTGAATTAGTCTGTAGTTCATTCCTTAATTGATTCTAATTCAGTGAAATCTGCTACAGTGACCATGTACGGGATTAGATTAGACATGGGAGGTTCCTGAGCAGACCAGTTTCTTAAGTCATTTTCAGAGGAGGGCTGCTACGGGTTTTCCTGGGTCTGGGAGTACTCGTAGCTAACGTTATGCGCAGTTTGCAGAACCTCCAAATCCCACCGATGGCTGGCCCCTCCCACTCTGCTCTGCCCCTCCCTTCCCACCCCTCCCCTCCCAGGAGTCTCTACGCGGCCCATTTTGGATGCGAGGTAAGTGCAGGGCCCGCGTAGAGGCTTGAGGAGGGGGAAAAACAGGCCTCCCGGAAGCTCTGGAGGGCCTCCAGCAGGAGTGAAATTCAGCAGGTTCTGACAGGTTCTGGAGAACCAGTAGTGGAAATTTTGAGTAATTTAGAGAACCGGCAAATAGCACATCTGGCTGGCCCAAAGTGGGGTGGGAATGGAGATTTTGCAGTATCCTTCCCCTGCCACGCCCACCAAGCCANTGTGTGTGTGTGTGTGTGTGTGTGTGTTTCATGTTTGGCTTAATATGGTCAATGAAGCCAGTTATTGGGGTATATGGCTTAGCATAAGCCAGTGCTTCTTAACATGTAGTTCTAAAACCATTGCGGGTTTCCACAAGACCCTATCAAAGGTCAGCGGAACCAAAATTATTGCCTGTCCTTTAAAAAAAATACAATTTTAAAATACACACACTGCTACAAATAAGTTCCCTGAGGATGGGCTCCAGCACGAGTCTGAAAACTTGGAAAATATAACCTCTGGTCCTGGTGATTGACCCAGATTAGATCCCGCAACATTATCCGGGGACACATACATTCACCTTCATTTGTCACAGCCCATCAAACAAATTTGAGAAGTAGTAGTGGCAGTGAATGCATCATTTTAAATTGTTAATAGGATAAATATTGATAAATATGACAATAAACAAAAGGTCTTTTGGGGTCCCCCATAATTTTTAAATGTGGAAAGAGTTCCTAAGACAAAAACATTTAAGAAACACTGACAGTAAGGGGTAAAGGTTCCCCTCGCACATATGTGCTAGTCGTTCCTGACTCTAGGAGGCAGTGCTCATCTCTGTTTCAAAGCTGAAGAGCTAGTGCTGTCCAAAGATGTCTCTGTGGTCATGTGACCAGCATGTCTAAACACCGAAGGCCCACAGAATGCTGTTACCTTCCCATCAAAGGTGGTTCCTATTTTTCTACTTGCATTTTTATATGCTTTTGAACTGCTAGGTTGACAGAAGCTGGGACAAGTAGCAGGAGCTCACTCCATTATGCGGCACTAGGGATTTGAACCGCCTACCTTTCTGATGAACAAGCTTAGCATCTTAGTCACTGAGCCACGACATTGATGTATTGAAGAAAGGATCCCCTTTCTTTCCTAACAACTCTTTTCCCCCTATGCTAAGAGCAAGTCTCGTTAAATTTATAAGGAAATCAAAGCGTTTTCATTGCTCACCTTTAAAAAGTAAAACGTTGTCTTGTGCAAAGTTCTCATAAGCAGCATCGATACTGGAAGGCAGAGTTGGCCAGAAAAGAGAAATGAAATATAGTTCCACATTGGACAGCTGAGGGTGCTTACGCCAAAAGTGCCTAATAGTAAAACAGAAGTGGCATATTACCAAATGTGGCATCTTTTCAAAGAGGGGAAAATTAGCTGGAGTTCCATATCATAATAATATAAAGCAGGTTTCATGGCCCATGGGGTCCTTAGATCTGGCCCACAGGGGTTCCCCTGGAAACAGCAAAGGACTAACCCACGTTGTCGCTGCGCGGCCCACCTGGCCTCTGTTTTTCCTGCCAGATGGCTGCAGGAGGCTGTCACAGCTGAAAACATAGCCTCAACAAGGGATGTCAAGCTGGCCACGCCCCATGGCCTTGTCCCCCCCAAGGTCAAACACAACCCTGATGTGACCCTCAATGAAATTGAGTTTGACACCTCTGATATAAGGGTCATATCCTGTTTATTGGGAAAATATTGCTCAAACTCTAAGAAGTATTTTAAAAATGCAACTTACCTGTCTTTAAAGAACAAATATTCTCCACGCATGGTGGCAACAGCATCAAAAGTAGTCATAGCAGAACATGCTTCTGGTGTAGAGGGTCCCGTTGGTTGTATTGGGTTGTTTGACTTACCTAAATAATAATTAAGAAATTATATGGAAGCTATTAAATCAATACTAAAAATGATTGTAATTATCAAGATTTGCTTTCTTTTTTTGGTTTTTTAAAAATATTTTATTTATACATTTTTCTTTAACATACATAAATACTTAATAAACAGTGTATAGCCTGGGTCAGTTCACTTGTACTAAATTGTAGTAATAATAATAATATTCACTTGTACCTAATCTTTCAACTTCTAATATCTACCTCTATCGTCTAACCATTGATGAAACAAATCCCATGTCAAAAAATATTTTGTGTCTTCTTTGTCCTTTATCATTAATGTTAACCTATCCATTTCTGCACAGGCTAGTATTTTTCTAATTATATTTTTATCTGTAGGAGTTTCCTCTTTCTTTCACTGCTGTGCAAATACAATTCTCTGCAAATCTGTCAAGATTTGCTTTCTTAATGTTAGTGTTTGGAGTAGTACAAATTCTAACGTGTCTTTGCTGGTAGCGGGGAATTCTAGCTATAATGAAATGAATTATGATACTATTTTAAGGAATATAACTGAGAAGAACACGCTAGTTACAAGAATTTTTTCTTTTGGAAATCTTACTTAAATGAATAGGAGCTTGCAGTTAGTAATGCTTGTACTGCACAGGTGTCAAACTCGATTGCGTCATGTGACGTATCATGACGTATGGGAATGTTTCTTGCCTTTGGGGAGCTGGGGTGGGTGGAGCCTGCGCCTGATGCATTCAGCTCGGGGGCTGCCAGTTTGACAGGGCTGTTGTACTGCTTGGCAAATATTTATTTACATTTGGTAATCAAGTTGCAAATTAGGAATAGCACTTAGACTTATATACCACTTCACAGTGCTTTACAGTCTCTCTAAGTGGTTTACAGCAGTGGTGGGATTCAAATAATTCAACAACTGGTTCTCTGCCCTAATGACCAGCTGGGTAGGCATGGCTTAGTGATCATGTGACTGGGTGGGCATGGCCAACTCAACATCACTCATGTCAATTGGCGCTTTGCCTCAATTGTTATAATGTAATAAGGGTTAACCAGAGAGGCAGTTTCTGTAAGCAGGGCAATAAAGCTTAGGCTAGAAACAACACCAGAATGTTTCCTTCCTACCTCCCTTACAGGATTAGCCGTGTAAAGTGGAAAAAAACCAAAATGAGATTTCTTCCAACAACCAATTCTTCAACCTGCCTAGAAAGTTAACAACTGATTGTCTTGAATAGGTGTGAACTGGCTGAATCCCACCACTGGTTTACAGTCAGCCTATTGGCCCCAACAATCTGGGTCCTCATTTTAATGACTTTGGAAGGATGGAAGGCTGAGTCGAACATGATCTGGTGGTGATCAAACTCCTGGCACCAAGTCTGTAATACTGCATTCTAATCACTGCGCCACTAATGCTCACCAAGGCATGCTTTCTAGTCTAAGAGCATCCCATTCAATTTAGGATTTGATTTCTCTTGGCCTTACCATAGATGGCTTGAATGCCATTGATATCATCCTGTGGAAGACGAAATAATTTTGGCGCTGTGAAGGAGTAGTTGGGAAACATCAAGGCCCCAACATCAGTGGAATGAGACAGACCCAATGAATGGCCAAACTCATGAGCAGCAACAAGAAATAGGTTGTGGCCTAAGGGGAAAAATAAAAATAAAATCCTTTTTGTAGAAATCAATAATTCATAAGCAATCTACTCCTCCTTCAGATTTAAAAAAAAACACCAAAATTCAGCATTTAAAGAAAAAGGAATAGTCCCATCTAGGTTTAGTAATCATATTTAATAGGGAAGGATTGGTTCCCTTCCACGAGTTACTTGTGACAACTATTGTTTTACAGTTTAATTAAATATGTAATTCCTAGTCAAGTTCATCCAGTTTCTTGGAGGATTTTAGCCTATATTGGGGAAGCTGGCAGATATTTCCAGGTCTACCATCTTATCTGGCTGCATCTGTAGATAAATTTCAGATGCTTATATCCTTGTACAATCTACAGGTTTACAGTTCCAGAATGATTTAGACATACCTCTTGGGCCATCTTTGGTCCAAAATTCTTCTTCATCAAAATGAGCATCTCCACCAATGTGTTGCCCTGGTTGAAAAGCATGTGCCAGGATTCCACTAGGACCATCAAATGGAGAATTATCATCATGGTCTGAAGGTAGACGAAGTAAGGAGTTCAATTAGGTGGTTAATTGTTTTGCTTAAACAGTGATCCCTGAAGCCAGGTTCAGCCAGGGGTGAAATTCAACCAGTTTGGACCAGTTCAGGCGAACCAGTAGGGATGATTTGAATCGGTTCACTGAACCAGTAAAAACCACCCATAGTTGGCCCCACCCACGCCCGCCTGCTCTCCCACTTGCTGCTCACCCCTTCTGGCCGCTCACTTGGTGGGTTGCCATGAGTGATGTAAAGTTGGCCCTGCCCACTCAGTCACATGACCCCCACCAAGCCATCCCCACCAAGCCACACCCACAGAACCGGTAGGGGAAAAATTGAATTTCACTTCTGGGCTCAGCTCAGGGCTAAACCTATGTGGTTACCTCTGGTATTAAAAGAGATCATGATATCTGCTTCACCCTCATACATTCTTGTGAAGGTTAGAGGTGACACATTGCTCCAGACTTCAAATGCTTTTCTGATGGCTTCATCTGTATCAGATCGAGGCATATCTGGAGTGTAGTTTACAATCCTATAAAATGAAAGAGGAATAAATTATTGCGCAGCCACAAGAGTGGTTTATCTAAACCAGTATTGGAGATACTGAGTCACAGCAGCTTCCCAGGATTCCAGAGTTATCCCAATTCTGTCTCAGATGAGAGTCACAGCCCTGTTTTACACAGAAAGCAATGCTTTTTTTTTACTGAATCTAAAATTTATTTTATGTATATCCCACCTTTATTATTTTTACAAATAACTGAATGTATCCCACACACCTTCCTCTTCCTATTTTCCCCAAACAATAACCCTGTGAGGTGAGTTGGGTTGAGAGAGAATAACTGGCCCCAAACTAGCCAACTTTTATGGCTAAGGTAGGGTTTGAATTCATTAATGGTTTCCAACTTTCTAATCTGTTGCTTTAATCATTAGCCCAAAGTGACTCAAATGGAAATTGATCATATTAAATGGAGTCTGGGAAGGCCTTGGCAAAAATTCTCTTCATAAGGGCTTAAAGCAATATACTTGTTTCATCATCATCATCATCATGCACATGGATTGTCATTTGGAATGCAACACACCAGATATCACAGTTGTCAAAAACCAAAATGTACAATTTATTGATATCGCTGTACCAGGAGACACCAGAATCCAAGAAAGAGAGGCCTTTGAAAATGCAAAATGTGCTATAAAATAAGTTAAAGTTTGGAAATCATTAATAGAAACTTCTCATCACTAAATGGACTGGATGCTAAGACCAATCAAAGCTCAGTTTTTGTTTTGATGCAGGGAAATCTGTTGGAAGGAGGATCAAAACAGGGAAGATGGCAGACGCAATCTCGTGACATACACATGAAAGGGGCGGGGATTCAATCATGTGATTGCAATTTTGACTGTTTGTCTCCCCCTCTGCCAATACCCCCATCTCAGGGGTGGGTTCCTGCCAGTTCTAACCTCTTCTGTAGAAGAGGTTCCACAAATCTACAATGCCGTTTAGAACCGGTTCCAGCTCCATCCTCCCGCCTGTCTGCACATCATCAAGATGAAGAGTGAGAGGAAGAATTCTGGGAGTTGAAGTCTACAAGTCTTAAAGCTGTCAAGTTTGAACACCCCTGGGTTTTTCCCCCCTAAAGGATTAGGGTGCAAAGGTCTTGTAACTTGACAGCTTTAAGACTTGTGTGCTTCAAATCCCAGAATTCTTCCTCTCACTCTTCATCTTGATGATGTGCAGACAGGCGGGAGGATGGA